ACAGAAGGAATACGGATCGTGAAGTAAAACAAAAATATATCGATATATCAAAAAGAAAATCATCGATAATAATGAATGTTCCCTTTTAACAGGAATGTACCTTGTTCGATTCATAAAGTCCTACAAATATATTAATTATAACCCAACAGAACATAACCGCCTCAGTGCGTTGTAAAATATGTGGCCTACATATTTATAATAACAAATGTAGCCTCTTCACCCCCATGTACAAAAGTGTGCAAAAGTGTGGGTATTGTAAAAGTGTGTTTTCATGTAGCCCTTGGGGATTGGAAATGTGACCTCTTTTGTTATTAAAATGACTCTTATTAACTACAAAATAATTAATAAACTAGTGTCCCTGTTGCTCTAATTCGAGCAATTGCTAAGTATTACAGGCATTATTTTAAAACGAATTTCAACCAAGTCAGCAAGTTTGTAGCAAACTGTTAAATTAGAAAACTTGTTGACTGTTTACAATTAACATATGCTCTTCTTCTCACTTTTGATTTGTGACAACAGCTGGAGTTTCATAACAATTTTTGTTTCCAATGTTAATCTTATGGAGAAATACGAAACTTTAAAGGGCTCCATCGCCTCACTCTCTTATTATTTCCCTAAAAAGAAAGTTTCCTGCACAACTTCACGTTACGCTCTTTCCAATGACACCAAAAACATGTCAATCGGTTCAGTAGTTTCGGAGGAGTAATTGTCACAAAAAACCTGCTTGCGTATTAAATAAGTATAGATGCACGCATATTAACTCAACACAAAATCTAATTCATGAATGTTTACAAAACAAAAAACAGTAGAAAACCATATGATAGTAAAAGTAGGTATAAATGAATTATTAACAGTCTTAGAGAAGACATAACAGTCTCCCCCACTATTTTGAACTTGCAGTGTATTATTATGAAAGCACAAAGTCCTTGTATCGGCCCGGCATTTGCCTTTGTCGCCTTGATCTCTCTTGATTCTCAGGAATATGGCCATTGTTTGTCTCTGTTTCCTGAACTTCTGGAACCTCTGAATTGTTTTCTTTGGAAGTTGGCGGTTTTTCGGGAATTGATGGTCCTTCGGGAGTTGACGGTCCTCCGGGATTTGATGTTCTTACGGCAGTTGATGGTCTTTCAGGAGTTGACGGTCTTTCAGGATTATCTAATTGATTATAAGGAGTAATGAAATAATGAAATATGCTTTATTGTCTTTTGAATTTGTACAAATCATCGACAATGTCAAGATACAGCTAAAATTATAGCATAGTCAGGTAATTAATTAATGAAATACTTATAGCTAACTTAACAAAGGGAGACATATTATAATACATATTCTAAATGAATAATTACAACTGAAGAATCTTATTCTTAAAAAAATCTTCCAAACTATAAAATGGGTTATTGGTCAGCCAACAATAAAATTTACTTTTGAAATCCTATTATTTTATCGTGTAATGTTGTTGTGTTGTTATTGCTACGTTATATTAAATTGCTACGTCCAGTAGCAGACGTAGTGTTTCCTTTGGTGCTGTGTTTAGAAGCCCGTGGAACATCAAATATGTGGATTGGTCCAGCCCTAACAACCTTTGGTTTTGGTATCAAAGTAGACCGCAATTGATCAATGTGTCGTTTTATAAGTCGGCCTGACGTATCAAGGGAAACTAGATAGTGTCGAGTTCCCAACTTGTTATTTACCTCTCCAAACTTGAACACTTCTGTTTGTTTAATGTGTAAGTCAAAATCTGAGAGTTGTTGAGGACAGGCCTGTAGATTTCTTTTGCACTCATCCATTGTTGAGCCATGGCAAATTATGTCATCAAAGTAGGCCTCGGTTTTAGGCAATCCCTTCAAAATTTGTGTATGAATTCGGTTGAATTCAGAAAGTGCTGTCTTTATTCCGAAACTTAGTATATTGACACGATATGTTCCACGTTGTGTTGACATTGTCTGGATAATACTGGACTCTTCGTCGACTTTGAGGTGCAGATAAGCTTTGTACAGATCAAGTTTGCAAAAGTAACGAGATCCTCTCAAACTATCGAGGACATTGTCAATTTTTCGAATAGGATGGTTTGCCTGGACTATTCGTTCATTCACACCACATTTGTAGTCGACACAGAGACAAACACTTCCATCTGCCTTAGGTATCACGACTAGTGGTGACCCCCAATCACTTGACGTAACAGGCAAAATGATTCCTTCATTTTCAAGTAAATCTAGTTCCTTGTTGACCTGATCAATAAGAGCATGAGGTACGTTCCGTTCACGGTTGAAAATAGGCTTTGCTCCTGATCGAAGATGTAATGATACTGTAAAGTTTGGAACGCATCCAATTTTTGGCTCGAAAATTGGCGCAAATTTTTCAAACAGTTCCTCAACTGAATTTACTGGTTGTAATTGAAGGGTAGTAGCTGGTCGGTTCATTTCAGCGTCAATTACACTCAGTTCAATACCCAGTCCTCGGATCCATTGGCACCCTAGTAGAAGTGCATCATGACCTGAAGGGACAATGTGAAGGTCACCTTTGAACTGTTTACCCTTGTATGATACAGAAACTGATACCTTTCCCTCTGGTTTGATTATGTCTCCAGAGTAAGAACGGAAAGCTAGTCTTGATGGTTCTACAGGTACGTTCAGATGTAGACGTTCAAAGTCATTCTTCGCAAGGAGAGAAAATTTAGCCCCACTGTCAACTTCAAAACATTGTAATCTTCCATTTATAGTGACAGAAACAATGTACTTGTCTGAATCATATCCAACTTCAAATAAATCTACGACATCAAAGTTCTGGTAGATCGAATAAATTTTGTGCACTCCGTAATCAGAAGAATTGTCACTAGAATAATCGTCATAATTTGATCCTGAATGTAGGTTGTTGGTTGAATTTAACTTTGATGTTGATTTCTTAGTCTTTGACATCAGTGTAGTTAATGCAGACCGCAGAGACATGTCCTCGTTTTAAACACTCCCCACATTGGAGTTTATACTTGTGTCTGTTACAATTTGCAGCAATGTGTTTGTTACTTCCACATCTAAGACAGAGGCCTTCTATTCCGAGGGCATTGAAGTCAGGTCTTTTGTCATTTGAACGTTGTTTCCAGTTGAGAGATGTCTTGTTGGATGAGCGATTGTTAGAGAACTGGTGGGATCGTCTGGAAGACCTTGTAATTTTGTGCACTCCAGCCGAATCCATATTAAAGTTGTTAGAACATGCATGTTGGTGAAATTCCTTGCTTTCAACCTTTGATGCTTCAAGGGCAATAGCTTTCTCTAGAATGTCATCAAACTTTGTGTAAACGGATTGTAAAAGGTGTTCCCTAAGCCAATTGTCCTTCAATCCTCGTATGAACTGTGCCCGCAAGAAAACATCAGCAATTGACACAGATGTTCCACATTCATCGTTGGAACATTCAACTGCAAATTCACATTCTTGAAGATCACGTCTGAGGTCAGCCACAAACTCTGAAATTGACTGGTTTTCTTTTTGAAAGATATTTAAGAAATAATGTTGAGCAACAACAACACTTTTCTTTGGAATCAATAGTTTCTTGAAGTCATTCAACAGACATAATCTAATGATTTGAGTGGCTTGTCTGGGCCCAAAAATGCAGAGATAGGTTGTTATAATGTTCACTACCTATAGAATTACACAAGAGCTGAGCAATTTTCTTCTTATCAGTCAAACCTTTCATTGTATAATAGTTTTCAAAACGTTCTAAATAGCTGGTAAACTTTTCTTGTTTGGCATTGAAGTTTTCGAATGTAGCAACATTTGACATTGTAGATTGACAGCTTTCTTCTCTAGGTTTTCCAATTGATGTAACAATTGTTTGAATTTGAGCTTGAAACATGTTTGACATCTCACGTACAAGTGCTTTTTGTTGTTCATTGAATGTGTTTAGAAGTAAGGTAAACTGTTGTGCATCCATTATAGTTTGAACTGTATAAAATATTAATGTGTCTTGAAACTAGAAATTGAATGTAATTTTGAAAAGTAAATGTGTTGAATTTTTCAGTGGCTAGTTGATTTTCACACTTGTCGCCAATTAAAATGACTCTTATTAATTACAAAATAATTAATAAATGCACGCATATTAACTCAAAACAAAATCTAATTCATGAATGTTTACAAAACAAAAAACAATAGAAAACCGTATGATAGTAAAAGTAGGTATAATAGTATATTTCGTACCTAGGGCCGAAAATGAGGTTTTGCCGGCTCGAGATAGTTTTTAAGTTCGAGACGAAGTCGAGAACTTAAATCGATCGAGAGCTGTAATACCATTTCGGTCCGTGGTACGAACGCTATTTTTCACCACACTTTACCCTATTACCACTGTTCACCACTATAATAATGCACACTGATAGTCAACACAACTACAACTTTAAGGTTATGTGAAGAAATAATTTGAGGAATCAGCAAAAATAAAAATAAATAGTTGCTAGGCAACGGTGACAATAACAGAATTCTATTGCAATGCTATGGGATTTTGATTGTGTTTAAAATGCATTCATGTTTTAAGTAAAGTAAGCGGACAACTGATTTTGCGGCCCCGGCCTGTAAAAACCTGCTTGGTCCCCAAATTACGATGACAGCTGTCATGGCCAGCAAAACGTAACTTTCAGCCACCAATTAACGTATGTAATACAGCCAAAAACATTATAGTGTGGTGAAAATGAATTATTAACAGTCTTAGAGAAGACATAACAGTTATGAAAACTAGGTCAATCATAATTTAACTGTGTGTAGGCCTAGACTACTCAACCAATCAAAATAGATGATTGATGGCATGAGTTCTTTGTCTTTGTGCATGTGTAGGCTAATTTTTTTTTTCAAATTGACTGATTGCCATCATTTCAAGACATGCTGTTAAAAAGCATACTCAATTTTTGTTTTTAACTACCGGTAAGTAAAATTGCATAAGTTACTTAGCATTTTATAATCTTAGTTTAAATTAACTGTTATTGTATTATAAAGTTGTTTTTTTTTTATGTTTTTCAATGAAGAGTGTGAGCAACGTACTGTGTTTGTCACAAGTGGGCCACATCCCTGCAATTGGCTTGGCTGTAGTTAATGCTTCATACCAACCAGTTGTCAAATTGTCAAGCACACAGTCTCCTTTCAAGCTACAAAAGATTCTCCAAGCCATAAAATCTTTTAAAGAGACAGTAAGTTCTTTTATTTTTGTATTTTATAACAACGATCTACCTATATTGTTGGTACTCATGCTCATGCTATAATTGTCTGGTTGTCAAGGGGTTATTGTGCTTGTCTTAAAAAAATGACGGTTGCTGTTTCTATCCCAAGCGGGGTTGATTCTGCCCCGGATGCTGTTTGGCATTGGCTTATCAACTATAGTGATCCATCAAAAGTTCAACGTTGGAGGAGATTAATAGTGCTTGCATCTCAACAGCCATTATTTGCATACCTTTACTCACATAAAATATGGCTAGGAACATTCTGGGACACATTTTATACAACCCAGATACTTGTCTCCCAACTGGAGATTTATAGTGTTAGTTACCTGTCTATTTGACTCAGTGCGGGTCTCTTTTCCAACTCACGCACATTTAAAAATTTCAACTTTGAGCAACTCAAACTGAGTTCAATGTTTAGTTAATAGCAGTTGGTATTTTAATTGTGGTTTTACTACTAGGATTGCTTTTATAGTAGTGAAAGCCATAGACCAGTCAGCTAACATTATAAAAGGCAAAGTTCACAAAACATGGCGTAGACATGAGAGTAATGTAAAACCAAGTTTGCAGCTTCGAACGACCTGTGCTCGCGAGACGTAGGAATTGGCTAACTCAGGACTTCGCTAACTCGGTCGTGTGTCGGAACTGGCTAACTCTGGAACTGGTTAACCTTCTCAGTCAGGAATTCGCTAACTCCGGAACCCGCTAACTCGATTTTGTCTCGCGGCGGAATTCACTAACTCTGGAAGTCGCTAACCCGGCCGCGCTTACTGCATGGAGCATTGCCAACCTTGTACAACGAAATAATCGTACACTGCCGTATTTCAAAATGTCAGTGACAACAGAGGTGTATAGTCAATGGTGACAATGAAGTTACAGTAAATGTTATTGTTTTTTGTTATCAATTCCCCTTTTAACAGGTAACTAGTCCAAAGTAATTCAAAGACAATAAACAATCATGAAAAAGTGTTTTTTTTTTTATTTAACTGTGCAATGGCCAATTAAATGTTTATGGTTTCGATCTTTAATATAAACGCCATCAGTAGCCTATGAAAGAAAATAATGGAATATGAAAAATATTGAAAATTCAGTTTAATTGGTACTAAATAATTAAACCTCTACGAAATTCTGCTAAAATACACGCAAGTTCTCAAACACGGAAAACAAATTTAATCATAATGTCGTGTAATAAACCAACACCATTAATTATTACAGTCATCAACCACCGTAACTTTCAAACCTAATTCATAGATTTAAAATTAAATGTTCGTCGTTGAATCTTCTAACTTACGTGTATAAATATGACATAGACTAAGTTTTATATAAATTAATAGAATAGCTGTAGGCCAAAATCTAGGCCTAATAGTTTAAACCAAAGCATTGTAGGCCTACTAGTAAATAGTTGCCTAATTCTAAAATGTGTTGAATTTTTAGTGATAATGTTAAATGTTACATGTTTTAAAACAGTTTTTAGATTGTACACCTAAGCACCACTAGTAAATAATAGGAGAAGATATAATATTCATATAATAAAACGTGACAGGGTTATTTTAATTCACGACTCTTAATCAACGACTTGACGGATTTTCCTGATTTGAGTGTGGGGTTTTATTATATTGCTTTTACCATCGAAATAAACTATACCAAGCCATTGCTCGGTTCCCCGTTCCCCGGTACTAAGCTACTCAATAGACAATAGCTTTGTTTTTAAATAAGATCAGGTAATTTTAGCTATGGTCACCATTCATAAAAATGGTAACAAACAAGAACGCCTGGGTCCATTTAGAACCGTAAACACTCAAGACTTTTAAAAAGTAGGCCTACTGAAAGATGTAAAATTAATAATAATTAAACAAAATTAAGAGGATGACCCGGGTTCTACACTAGCCTACGATAACAGAAATTTACAAGTTGTATTTATGCATAGACTAATTTTTATTGCAATCCATGAATACATTAGGCCTACCACTTTATAATGTATTGATCAATATTTATTTAAATTCAATAGCTCTATTTAAAAATACATTACCACTACAATGTATTTCTGTAATGACGTTTAACGTGTAAATTTTATCATAATTTATGATTTATGAGTACATTTCTCATCCTTATGGATCAGCTGAAGACAGTTGTATTGTTAGTTCTGTCCGGTGCACTGTATTTAGAGGTCGTGTTTTGTTTACAATTGTTTATTGTTTTCGGCCATTTAAAACCTCGTTTAACTAAATAAAACGTTTTAATCACAACTAAAAACACGTCCCCTAGTTATATAAACAAACAGTAAATAAAAAATCATGAAGTTAAATATAAAATAATAGAAACACAATTTCGTCGACACTAGCGATCAGTGTCACCGGACATGAACTGGATACAAAAAACTAGCTTCAAAGTTTACAATGGGATGTAAAGTTTACTCGTGTTGGCAACACGATGTGTTGGTTAGTTTATGGTAAGACTATAATGCATTTTCCACCCTAAAAATCATAAGAATAATATTAAACATACTTCTAAATATATTTATTTTATTGACAACGTTGCTCTTACACCTAATTATTCGTAGAATACGACATTATGGTACCGATACGATATTGGTACTATACTTTCGGCAATACTGACCAAAAATCTTCGTGCTTGGCTCCCATTGGACGGCCCGCGAGGCTTCTGATTGGGAGTTAGCGAGTTCCGCCGAGGGACCGAGTTAGCGACTTCCGTACGTGGCTGGTTAGCGGGTTCCGGAGTTAGCCAATTCCGAAACCGAACAAGTTAGCGAGTTCCTGTCATCGACCAATTTTGAAGATAAGGCGTTTAACATGGGGTTAGCGAGTTCCAGAGTTAGCCAATTCCGCGGACCCGTGCTCGCTGCTAGGTGGTCAAAATAACTCAATTTTCTTGTACTTTTTAGTTTTCTTTAATGAAATCTCGAAAATCATGTATTGTACGAAAGAAAGCGTTATAACCTTTTTTGAAGTAAATTAAATTCCGTACAATTTGGTATCAGTTTTCAGCTCTATCTATTATAGACTTTAAAATACATCATTTATAATTTTGGAATGTTCAGCAGTTGGGGGTAGACCCCCTATAACTATAAACTATAATGACATATTCAAAAGGACTGCTTATGTCGAGTGCTGTCGTTACGACAGTTTTGTCAGCGTCTACTGGGGCTACTTCAATTTTGATTCCTTCTTTTTCCATTCTGGAACAAAGGAAGCTGAACAGGTGCCGCTTTTTGTGGTCGCTGGACAGAAAAATTGTATTTCCAATCGTTCTATTGGGTTTGGATGTTATTTTTTAATTGGAATCATCAGCATATAGATAAAGCTGATTGTTGTTCTTACAAGACAGAACCTTATTTATATCTTTGAGATATATTATAAAAAGCAAAGGTCCTATAATATTGATCCCTGTGCGACACCATATACAAGGGATTAACACAAAAGGACAAAAGTGAACTGTACTACGCTTAAAATAAAACCACTGTTTTTAAGTTCCCAGTTTATCTTGGATTTTTCTTATATGTGCAGTTAAAAATACAGTAAAAGAGTGTTTAAATGTTTTAGAACATTTTTTTAATGTGAAGAAGTTATAAGTTTTCAGTGTAAGTTAATTAAAATAGCTATAAACACATAAACTCATTGCTTCCTACAAAGCATATGGCTACATTCTAAACTTACCTAAAGTTGGTTATCAAAAATGTTCATTTACTTATTATATCCTACAAATAACATTGGGCACTAGTGTATCAAAAATCAAAAGACTTATTTTATTATTTTATTTAAAAATTGAAAATCGAACTATTTCATTGCATAAGTTATTAAAAACAAACATAACTCTACAAGATAACTGATCAAACTTGTCAACAAGCTCCATCCTGAAGCATAGACTAAGGAAAATGCGCGCACTGACCGTTGAGCATTAGTGGTACCTTGTACTGCAGCTCGACCACTATATGATAACAGACTTTACTTATCTGCCACTAATGCTTAGATATCCCTGATAAGAATTTTTCTCCAATTGTCATAACACTTTGTGAAATTCTTAAAGATAATTAATTATGCAGTTGTCTGATTATTGATTGTGATCTCGAATGTGTTTAATGATTAAGTTTTTCTACTGTTTTAAATGCTAGAGGGATTTTTGCAAGCCAAACGGTTGAATCTAGAGATGGCAAATCTACAGGAAATAATAATTGAGTCTAATGACAACCATGGCTTAATGCAGGACTATATAGCTAAAATATGCTTTGAAATAAATTTAATAAAATGCAATAATCCTGAGGTGAAAATGGAAAATCTTGTGTCCGGCCTGGAATCACTTATTAAACACTGTGACGGTGTCCTATTAGACAGTGAAGAAAATAAAAAAATACTTGACTCGTCTCGAAGGGACAGCGCTATCTTGGAGTCTAATTTAGTTTTACAAAAAAAAACAAAGGGAACAAGATTTAAATCACTCATTTCATCTCCAAGAACAAGAAAAAGATGAAAAAATGCAAGTAATGAAACAATTAGCAGAAATCGAAGAGAAACTTAAATCGAATGCTGAAAAATACAACTCATTACTTCATGAAAATAGGGAAATTGTACAGAACGTGACTAAATTAAAATCTACAAAGGACTCACTAGAAGAACAGTTAAATAAAAAAACTTCAAACATTGCGAAATTGAAATTTCAACTTCAAGCAGTCTCTACAGAGTTATTAGTCCACCCTAAAAATCATAAGAATAATATTAAACATGCTTCTAAATATATTTATTTTATTGACAACGTTGCTCTTACTCCTATTCGTAGAATACGACATTATGGTACCGATACGATATTGGTACTATACTTTCGGCAATACTGACCAAAAACACAACATTTGAAACATTTAAAACATTTGAATTTGGTTGTGTTCTGTTTGTGATCTACAGAAGGACAACAGAGGCAACAGAGGTTGGGGTAAAGAAAAGTGGGTTGATGATTCTGTTCTG